TGTGGAGGGGGGGGGGAGCTCTCTCACTGAGCACTGCAGAGTGTAATTTCAACTCTCCACCCACTTTTTTCTAAATTCTCATTCAATCATTATAAATTCAGCATTTTAATCAGACGTAGAGTAGAGCAGACTGCAGATAGACAGGAACAATCTATGTGGGAGGATTTGTTTCATCTCTGTGTATCACCTGAGGCCAGTCACTTCACTGGGTACATGTAAGGGTTTACAACCAATTTAAGTAAAGAAATGACAATAGGATGAGAATTTTGAACCTTGCAAACTGATTTACATTTGTATATTTCTCACTGCATTTTCAATCAAAATGCTAAATTAAAGAGTTCTTCTTTAACTCTCAGAATATTTCATTTGTGAAAAGCTCTTTTGGCCCTACTTCTCCTGGATATCACAGGAGTGCACTCCGTCCTGTGACCCATATTCAGCAGATGTCACTCAGCCAGTCCAGACCCTGGAAAGATCCTAACTTTAATGACGGGATTCACTCAGATGTCTGGACTGGCAATTGGCTCAGGCTCTCAGTGGCTCGAAGCCAGGTGCTCCTGGCTTCGAGCCAGGTGCTCCTGGCTCAATAGCCCAGTGATCCAGTGAGTATTGGAAGGACAGAGCAGAGAGCCAGGGACTGACAGTCACTGACTCTGTTCTCATTGGAGACTGAGAACTGAGCGATCAGTGGTTTTTGATCTCTCAGTTCTCGGTGTAGTGGCCAGGGGTGGACTGACCATTTGGAAACTCGGGCACAGTAGGGGGCCCCATGAGATGCCCCTGGTACCTATTTCATAGGCTTTTTTAAGTTTGGGCAAGGACACAGGGGCCCCATGATCCCCTATTGCCCGGGGGCCCCATGAGTTGTCAGGCTGCCCCTGATAGTGGCAGCAAGGACAGGTGCAGCATTGGAATGATGCTGCATCCATCTTGGTGAGTTTTTATGTTTCTTTTTTAATCCTGAACTTCTCTTTTAACTCCTGATTCCTTAGCTTTTTTTACTTGGTGACAAAGCTACATTGAGGGGTTAAGACTGCAAAACCTTCTCAACTACAAAGTGCAAAAACCAAAATGTTATCTTCAATAAATTAAAGTAATTGGTTGTTATTGATCTCAGCTTTTAGTACACCAGAAGTACTCTTCACACTGCTTTATTATTAAAAGTGCTAACATCATTGGGAAATGTCACAATTTGCATATTTGAGTCCTCTGGGTTTGGAAAACCTTAGGAGAGCTTGCCGGCTCTCAACTCATTGTCTGGAAAATGGCATGGTTATAAGCAAATCAGCAGATTGGACAATTGTTTATTTTTTAAATAGACCTCACTTTAAATTACCTCTGAAAATACTGCTGCAAATGTACACTCTGGAAACACAAATCTATCAATACTGAGTGTACACATACACATCCAGAAGGTGCCTTGGGATTCTTATGCCCAGCTGTCATAAGCATAATGATACATAAAAATAAAGATAGCGTGGCAAGACTGTGAACCAGTGTGCCAGTCTGATTTTGGAAACAATTTGCTCACGAATCACAGACTCAGAAAATGTTTAACACTTGAATAAATGGACTGTATAATAATATCTGAAATAGGTGATTTATCCACATAACTAGAACAAACAATCCCCATGGCAAGCAAAACAACCTTGGGCACAAGATGGATGTCATTGCATGTATTTCAAAATTCTAATGTAACCATACATGCTCTGAAAATAAATGATAAATGGCAAGTCTGCAAATACATTGTGCGTGCAAGAAAAGAGCTTTAATGTTGACACTAATCAAAACCAACAAAATGAATCAAAGAACTTGGATTCATCAAGACTTCATGAATGCAGCAGAGCCAGCTTTATTTTTCACGCATGGACTCAAATCCACACTTAATAACCCCTTCTCTGTTAGGTTCCAGACTATTTAGATCAGAGGTGTAGCTTAAAGCTTGTGGGCCTCGATGCAAAAGTTGACCTGGGGCCCCACACTACCACCCGCTGCTTTCTCAACGCATGAAGATACTCCCACAAGTGGTGGGCTTGTATGTAAGTCTAGGTTCACACTGTGAACCGCAAGTGAATTGCACTGGAATCGCACTACATTCCTGTGCAAATCACATGTGATTATGTGTGGTGCGATTTGAGAACACTCATTTTGAATGGCTCAAATTGTACCGCATCCAAATCAAAAAGGTGTAGGCAGATTTTTTTATTCTCACTGGAACTGGACTGAATGAGTGTTTATACCCATGTGATCTGGTTCCGGAAAATGCACTGCATTTGCGACCTGCTTTTGGGGGTCGTTAACTTTCCATTGACACCTGCAGCAGATCACAGAACACTATAAAATGCAGTGTGGGAAACACACAGGAATTGTTGCATTTTCTGCACTGTATCAGTTTTACCCGGAAGAGGAAATTCAGAGGGCCCAGCCTGTGCCTCTGACTTCCAGATTCACATACAAGCCCACCACTTTCACGTGGCAGGTCAGAGTGTGGCCTGCCTCCCCCCACCTTGTGTGCACGTCAATAGTTGAGCAGGGCTGTTCAGAAGGGTGGGGATGCTGAACAAAGTGTGTCGCTAGGAGAGAAGACTGATCAGGTAATCAGCAGAGGAGAGGGCCCTACACACCTGGCACAGGGACATGGACAGCTACATCACTGGGGAGGGAGGCGGTACAGGGAGAAATGAGCACAGTGAAGATACAGGACAAGGGATAAAGGGGGGGGGGGGAGAATCAGGAAAGGAGGGATTTTGGGAGTCTATAGAAGGGAGGGGGACTCTGACAGAGAAGCCTAACGTGCCCATTGGAGCGTGGGTGGGGTCGCCATTGAGACCCCTGCAACCCCTTTAGCTACACCAGTGAGTTACCGGTATATCTCAATACACACTACATATAGTTAACCACACACTACATATAGAACAAGAATATATATTCCACCACGCACTACATATACAACAAGGGACCATGTGTACTCACATAATAAAGTCAGCATACATTATTCACTTGTGTTGGAGGTCTTGAAACAGAAGCTGGTGCAAATCATCATTGGTTTGACTTCACACTGGCCAGCTTTCTCAAGCATATGTTAAAGTGGTAAAAAAGCCAAAACCAAACATTTTATTATATTGCAGCTTAACAATTCTCAGATGTGATGGCTGCGTTAGTTCTCTTTTTCAGGCTTTGTTTCCTTTATTTTCACTTTATGATTTAGCCTGTAAGTCTTTTGTTTTTTAGCAGAACAAGCTCCTTTGTAGATGTAACAGTTACAGGGATGAAACCAACCATTTAATACTGAAAGGGCAATATATTTGACAATGGCAAATATAGTTAACATACCCTAAAGCAGGTAGCTATTTAAGAGAGCTCACTAATGATGCTTTTTAAGATTTTTCCTATTATTAATCTTCCTCAATCATTAGGAAATACTGATAAACACAGCGTTTTGCTTCACATTCTTGTTATCTTTGTTATGGTTAACATACATTTTTTTCCTTTTTACAACTCCTGTTACAGTTTTGAGCCCATGTGGGGTAACAGGATCATTTCTACAATATGTATTATGTTTGTTCTTGATTGTTAACATAATCATTTCTTCTAAACTGAATGCTTTTTATATTTGGTCAATCTTGGACTTTTGTAGAAAACTTATATGTGCTAATTATTTTATGTCTATTGAAAGAATTTAAATTTAACAAAAATTATTGAAAAAAAAGGTGCTAGCTAGAGTTCAGCTTCAACATGTTAGTGTATCTAAATTGGCTAGTACATCTAAAACTCCCCTACCCCTAGATTACCAATGCTGCTTTCCAAAGGTGTCTCTATTGCTGCTTCAATCACAGTGTAGCACTCTAATACAAGAGGTGCGTTACTGGCCAGATCACCAGAAAATTAAAGGGAAAAAAGCCTAAGAAGGAAAACTAATGCAGCCACCATATCTAATGATTAGCAAGCAGCAATATATTCAATTTTTGGTTTCTACTTTATTACCACTTTAAGTGTGCCACTATAACTGTCGTAATTAGTAGGTGTGATTAGTGTGTTTGCCCTTACCTGACACACTTTACTGTCAATATTTACTAACACATTTTATATATGCTGGGGTGTAGAGCAGACATTGCAGTTACACTACAAATAAATACAGGAGGAATCAGAGGGCCCTGCTAGTTAGAACTTACAATCTAAGAAAGTGCCTATACTGTTTAAAACCTGGTAATGCACTGTCTCATCCTGCTCTACACAGCCTCAGTTGTCCTGTATTCCTGGCACTGTGCCGATAATCCGTGAGTCAGTAGGTGCAGATCTGCTGGCAGCCACAAGATGTACTGCTCGTGATGGAGGAGGAAAGCATCAAGTATGACACAGAATGTGCCAAAGGAGGACAGATTAATGAAGGAAAAAAGAAAAGCATGAAAAGTGTCAGGATTAACTCTGCTGCTAGGGAAATACAAAACAGTTAGGCAGGCCACAGACTATATATTTTTTTCATTCAACCAGAGGGTTAAGTGAAGAAAAAATATGCAGATTCCCCCATCCACACATTCCAGGTGGGTGGGAAAATCACTCCTGCTGTGCTATTGTATTCTCAGAACACAATGATCAGTGCTGCCAGGCTATAGCTGGTAGTATTGATCATAGTACTGATCACTGGTCCCTGCCAAATTGGCAACATTTCAATCTACTGTATGTTTGGCCTGCCTAAAGCTTACAAGGATACTGTCTTATCTTACCTTCCCACTATTATTTCATTTCTTCCTTAGCAGTAACAGCCCGTGAACCTGGCACAATACATTTCTTTTGGCACAATACAGTCAGGCAAGTACCGTTCTCCTGGAAACCACCATGCCCAGAAACGTCCATCAGATTGCCAGACAGAGAAGCGAGATTTGTCAATCCAGAGAACATGTCTCCACTGCTCTAGAGTCCAGTGGTGGTGTGCTTTACACCACTGCATCCGATGCTTTGCATTGCCCTTGGTGATGTAAGGCTTGGATGCAGCTGCTCGACCATGGAAATCCATTCCATGAAGCTTTCTACGGACTGTTGTTCTGCTAATCTGAAGGCAACATGAAGTTTGGAGGTCTTTAGCTATTGACTCTGCAGTCAGTTGGCGACTTCTGCGCACTTCAGCATGCGGTGACCCCACTCTGTCATTTTACGTGGCCTACCACTTCATAGCTGAGTTGCTGTTGTTCCCAGTTGCTTCCACTTTGTTATAATACCACTAACAGTTGACCGTGGAATATTTAATAGCAAGGAAATGTCATGGATGGACTTATTGCACAGGTGGCAACCTGTGACAGTACCGCTCTTGAATTCACTGAGCTCCTGAGAGAGACCCATTCTTTCACAAATGTTTATAGAAGCAGTCTGCATGCCTAGGTGCCTGATTGTATACACCTGTGGCCTTGGAGGCGATTGTAACACCTGAAATCAATAATTTGGAGGGGTGTCCCAATACTTTTGGCAATATAGTGTATCTTCATTTCTACTGCATGGTGCAGGTCAGTGATTAAAAGGGCAGGGATACCTGCAGCTATTGAAAGGAAGGAACAACTGACGGTGCTTGATTATTCTGTAATAGAAGCAAATACTTTTGCTCTGTGTGCTGTAACATCATATTTGGGTATTTATTCTGGTGGTTTTGAAGACCCACCTGGTTAAATGCATAGATTACTATTGTTACTTTTGGTGCTGACTACCCTCTAAAATATTATATATTATTGATAACAGCACAGGCACATGTTCTATGGATTTCAACAATTCAACATTTTCTGTTCTTCTATTCTGTTTCGATCTTTTATGTTTCTTTTTTATATGCTCAAACATAATTTTACACCCTTCCTTTCTGAGAGTTTGATCATGTTTTGGTTCCTTGGGGGCTTTTCTCTAAAGTTCAAGAGAGCATCGTGCATTCTCACATAACAGTGCTACTTTTTCAATATGTATTTCTTTAGCTTGTGGGCATTTTTAAATTGAATTGAAGATTTTTAGATTGCAAGAAACCTAAAATAACTAACTAAACTACTTTGTTGCTACAGACTTGAGGCATATTTAGGATTGTCTCTGTTTTCTGGACATGTTCTTGTCTATGTCTGCAATATGTTAAAGGGGACCAACATATAAATTACACAGCTTGAATACATAAACATGATTTGTTTTACAGACCTATATATTTGTATTTCTGTTGTGCCACGTTTGTATTTTATGTACCCTCCTTGGACTATATAGCATTTAAGCTAAGACAGGCCTGATCATTACCTGTAAGTACACATCACCCCAACTGCTGAGGTCTTCTCTGTGCCTTGACCCTCCCATAAGCCTACTTAAAGGGCTTTCTCCTTTAGCTTTTAGTGCCTGAAACCTGTTAGGAAAGCAGCGCTTTTCAATACAGTACAAACTAGACAGCTGTGATCCTCAAACTAGTGACCCTCTACCTGCTATTTACCAGCCGGCCAGACTGTGTGTCAGCAGCAGGGCTGGCTTAAGGAAAAGGTCCCTTCAAAATTGGTGCCCTTGTGTACAAAATTGCAGCACGTTCTAGGTGCTAGAACACAGAGGGGTTGATTTTCTAAAACTGGAGAGTGCAAAATCTGGTGCAGCTGTGCATGGTTGCCAATCAGCATCTAACTTCAGTTTGTTTAATTAAACTTTGATTTTAAAAAAATGTAAGCTGATTGGTTTCTATGCAGAGCTGCACCAGATCTTGCACTCTCCAATTTTTGTAAATCAACCCCAGTGTATTGTAACGTACCTTAACTTGTAAATACTTTGTTATATTACAGCACTGTGCTGGTGCAGGGTGGGACATACACAAAGGTAATTGACCAACACCATTGCTGTTTGGGCTTTCCTAATCCTACTGAAACCAAAGATGGAGCACTATTTTATCTATTAACTCCACTAGAGATGAGCGAATCGAACCAGGCGAAGTGGAATTCGTTTCGAATATCGGGAAAAATTCGATTCGCATCGAATCCGAATTTTAGCCAACTTCGGGTGCACGAATCGAATTTTTCCCGATCAGCCGGCAAAAGTGTCACTGCAGAGAGCTCCGCTATTTCTGACAGTTCTGACAGTTCATTTACAGCGGGTTGAAACATTGTATCTATTTGTTTCCATTTAGGATACAGATGTTTTTATTCGGAAATAAATAGATACAATGTTTCAACCGCTGTAAATGTGAAGGAACTGTCAGAGAACTGTCAGAAATAGCGGAGCTCTCTGCAGATACACTTTTTGCTGTACTGGAATACTTCTTCTTTTCATTCTTCTTCTTCTTTTCATTCTTCTTCTTCTCTTCTTTTCATTCTTCTTTTCATTCTTCTTCTTCTTTTCATTCTTCTTCTTCTTCTTTTCATTCTTCTTCTTCTTCTTTTCATTCTTCTTTTCATTCTTCTTCTTCTTCTTCTTTTCATTCTTCTTCTTCTTCTTTTCATTCTTCTTCTTCTTTTCATTCTTCTTCTTCTTCTTTTCATTCTCTTTTTTTCATTCTTCTTCTTCTTCTTTTCATTCTTCTTCTTTTCATTCTTCTTTTCATTCTTCTTCTTCTTCATTCTTTTCATTCTTCTTCTTCTTCTTTTCATTCTTCTTTTCATTCTTCTTCTTTTCATTCTTCTTCTTCTTCTTCTTTTCATTCTTCTTTTCATTCTTCTTCTTTTCATTCTTCTTCTTCTTCTTTTCATTCTTCTTTTCATTCTTCTTCTTTTCATTCTTCTTCTTCTTCTTTTCATTCTTCTTCTTCTTTTTCATTCTTCTTCTTCTTCTTTTCATTCTTCTTTTTCATTCTTCTTCTCATTCTTCTTTTCATTCTTCTTCTTCTTCTTTTCATTCTTCTTCTTCTTCTTTTCATTCTTCTTCTTTTCATTCTTCTTTTCATTCTTCTTCTTCTTCTTTTCATTCTTCTTCTTCTTCTTTTCATTCTTCTTTTCATTCTTCTTCTTTTCATTCTTCTTTTCATTCTTTTCATTCTTCTCATTCTTCTTTTCTTTCTTCTCATTCTTCTTTTCATTCTTCTCATTCTTCTTCTCATTCTTCTCATTCTTCTTCTTTTCATTCTTCTCATTCTTCTTTTCATTCTTCTTTTCATTCTTCTTTTCATTCTTCTTCTTTTCATTCTTCTTCTTTTCATTCTTCTTCTTCTTCTTTTCATTCTTCTTCTTCTTTTCATTCTTCTTTTCATTCTTCTCATTCTTCTTTTCATTCTTCTTCTTCTTTTCATTCTTCTTCTTCTTCTTCTTTTCATTCTTCTTCTTCTTCTTCTTTTCATTCTTCTTCTTCTTCTTTTCATTCTTCTTTTCATTCTTCTTCTTCTTCTTTTCATTCTTCTTCTTCTTCTTCGTCGTGCCCCGTGACTGCCCAAATGAGTGAAGTGTGCGGTGATTCTAAGATCGACGGCACTCATCTGCATGTCATACTGACTGACAGTATTATTTCTCTTCCCCAGCAGACTCCAAGGGCATTTAAATTAAAGGTACAGTGTTCTGCACTAATATAAAGGCTCTCTGAAGCCTAGAAACCCTTTAAATAAGTTAAATTCGCATCGAATCGAATTTCTCCCGCAAATTCGGCGAATCAGCCGAATCGAATTTTTGAATAATTCGCTCATCTCTAAACTCCACCAACTGGGCGCTAATATTCTGACTGACACCAACAATAGGGCACATTTACAGTGGGCCAAAAAAGTATTTAGTCAGCCACCAATTGTGCAAGTTCTCCCACTTAAAAAGATGAGAGAGGCCTGTAATTGGCATCATAGGTAGACCTCAACTATGAGAGACAAAATGAGAAAAAAAATCCAGACAATCACATTGGCTGATTTGGAAAGAATTTATTTGCAAATTATGGTGGAAAATAAGTATTTGGTCAATATCAAAAGTTCATCTCAATACTTTGTTATATAGCCTTTGTTGGCAATGACAGAGGTCAAACGTTTCCTGTAAGTCTTCACAAGGTTGGCACACACTGTTGCTGGTATGTTGGCCCATTCCTCCATGCAGATCTCCTCTAGAGCAGTGATGTTTTGGGGCTGTCGCTGGGCAACACGGACTTTCAACTCCCTCCAAAGGTTTTCTATGGGGTTGAGATCTGGAGACTGGCTAGGCCACTCCAGGACCTTGAAATGCTTCTTACGAAGCCACTCCTTTGTTGCCCGGGCGGTATGTTTGGGATCATTGTCATGTTGGAAGAACCAGCCACGTTTCATCTTCAATGCCCTTGCTGATGGAAGGAGGTTTGCACTCAAAATCTCACGATACATGGCCCCATTCATTCTGTCCTGTACATGGATCAGTCGTCCTGGTCCCTTTGTGGAGAAACAGCCCCAAAGCATGATGTTGCCACCCCCATGCTTCACAGTAGGTATGGTGTTCTTTGGATGCAACTCAGCATTCTCTCTCCTCCAAACACGATGAGTTGTGTTTCTACCAAACAGTTCTATTTTGGTTTCATCTGACCATATGACATTCTCCCAATCCTCTTCTGGATCATCCAAATGCTCTCTAGGAAAACTTCAGACGGGCCCGGACATGTACTGGCTTCAGCAGGGGGACAAGTCTGGCACTGCAGGATCTGAGTCCCTGGAGGCGTAGTGTGTTACTAATGGTAGCCTTTGTTACGTTGGTCCCAGCTCTCTGCAGGTCATTCACTAGGTCCCCCCGTGTGGTCCTGGGATTTTTGCTCACCGTTCTTGTGATCATTTTGACCCCACGGGGTGAGATCTTGCGTGGAGCCCCAGATCGAGGGAGATTATCAGTGGTCTTGTATGCAAAAATTGTAGCAAGCGCTCATAAAGGCAGCAGCTAGAACACTAAAGGAATCACGTAAACCTCATAACATAATATATAAGTAGACAGTGCAGCGCTATAAATAATGATAAGGTTGGTAAATGATATCCAAAGATCAGCGTCAATAATGAATGGACAGGTGAAAGGTAAAAAAGTTCAAACGATGTTCTGATGTGCGGCACCAGAAAAATCCTCTGCTTGTAATACATATAGCGAATATAAATAGCAGAAATGAGCACTCACCGACCGCGCATTGGGAATGCGCATATAAGTAATCCTTGTTAAAGGTGGATGACACCGGATGGATACCAGGACCCCCTCTATGGTGTGGATCATCTACCTTGAGTGAAGTGATGAGCAGCAAGATTCAGAGGTCCCCTTTCTGCCGGGTGGACAGCCTGGATGGATGGATGTTTCCTCTGGAAGTAGGTGTTGCTGTGGATCTGAGACCCTCATAAAAGAGGGTTAAGACAAAGAGGGAATGCCCATAGTGTAGTAGGTATGCTTTATTCCAAAAACATTCGTATAGTGGGTACAAGTACAGCTGTATATCAAATGGATGGTGTACTGACCCTAGAGTAAAATGGCCGC